GCTGGAATATGGAATATATGTTCCTGATCCAAAATAAAAAAAGGTTTGTTAAAGAATTTTACTTGAAAATTTTTCCATACACCTTATTTTTATTTTTGATCAAAATACCGTTGACAAGAAAGTTTCGCTGTTTAAAAACTTGTTAATTAATCTTTTTGAGAGGCATAATGCCTATCAAAACTACTGAAACAAAGGAGACCATGAGCGGGCCCAAGCGGTGCAGTGCACACACACTATTTATTATTTAATAGTTAAAATTAATGGGATTATCCATAAAATCTATTTTGCGTATATTTTAGAATCTCTAAAATAATTTCTATGAAATGTAGATGAGATACTTGCATTTTTTGGCAGTTCTGTAGCTCTACAGCACTTATGCACGCCACTGCGAGATATAAAATAACAATTTAAATAAGTTTCTATGAGATCACTTGACATTAGTCTTAAGGGAAGCCTCTACAACAACTATGTCTACCCTTTTTATATCAGAGTTAGACGGATGTTTAATGTCTTACCAATATATTGCAGAAAATCTTTAATTTTCATGTAGGGCGTTTATAGCTATTTCTCTTTGTGTCAACATCATTAGATGGTGACAAAAACTATCAAAATTCTGTCACTTAATATCAGTTCGCAGAGAACCTGAATTTGGTGCAAAAACCCACTTTGGATAGTGATCGTAGAAAAAATGTATTAATAACAAAACCTATAAAGTTGAAGAAAATCGTATATATAGAGGGTAAGTATAATGAATCAGTGATACGTCAAGATATGTTACACTGAACGAGTAAAAACAATTTAGTCTAGAGAGTTAATTACAGAGATAATGAATGGCGGTATGTATTCATTTCATATCTGTAAAAGGGTTTGTAAGAGATGGTCATGGTACTTAGAGTACCGCCCATGGCTCAGATTCATCTTCTGAATGCAACCGTGTTCTATCATAATTAAGACAGTTGCACAAATGTTTGCTAAGATTTATTGTTATTGAGCTATATGTTAAACGTAACTGATAATGAACACCTCGGCAAGGACAGCATATATCAAATTTATTAAAACCCACGCTTATATCTAACGAGCCTCCTCTTATATCCACAGAGTTATACGCCCCACTTGATAAAAATGACAGTTAAGATTTTTTCACCACTCCTCGCCAAGGTAGATATATGTTCTGCCACCTAACTATAACATTTGCATACCTTGCACTGGGTAATAAATTCCAATTTTCATGCGAAATCATCCAAACCGTGATGCATGAAGGGCAGCCATACGCTCACGTTTTTTCTTTTTGTCAACTCTCTAAATTATGTGACATTCCATATGTATATTCCAAGAGAACGATGTTACTTTTAAAGAATTATTCTCCAAATGAGATTACTTTAACCCTTTACTCATACTTCTATTCAATTATACGCTCTTAAGATATTTTATTAGTAAAATTTAAGTGAAAGGAAACCGTTACATATTAAAGTATTTTTTTCTATAGCTAAAGAAAAAAAATAAGCTTTAGTCTCATTTTAAAACGATTTAGAACATTCAAAATTGAAAAATGGTAATTCAGTTTTGTCAATAATAAATTAATTGCAATAGACGAAGAAAAAAGAATAATAAATGTTTATTAGGGTAATCCCAAAGGGCTATCTATCAGAGGCATTATTTTAATATATTGATGAGTTGTTAGAATGCTGGAATTATTAATTAATTCTAATTCTAATAAAATGTACACACATACACATTTAAAAAATTGAAATTACCTTTATTCGTTTCTTTTCTTTATCTACAAAATAATATAAAAGCTAATTACTATCGTCTTTATTATTTTATTTCTACATCGTCCACTTCTACTTTTGATATCTAAATTAAAATTTTACATCAGTTCATCCAGGTACATCATTCATATCTAAGATCAACAATAACTAGACTAGACAATAACTAGTCCTCAACAAAGATGAAAGAAGCATTACTTAAAACTATCAACAATAAATAATATTGCAAAATTATTAGAGTTATAAATAAAATACAATTATATGTCATGCTCCGTCAACATTAGTATAATAACCTGTCAAATAATTGATCAATCATCTGATGACTAGATCTTGAAGTTGGATACATGTTGATGTTAAAATATGCTTTATCTAGCTCTTATAATGGTCAAAGGGGTACCTCACCTTCTAACGACCTCTGGTGGATTTTTTGGAACTATGTTATGTTTGGTGCCATATCGTCTTTTGTTTTTATATGGGATTTTAGTGAATAATTGTCTTTCATCGTGATTAAGAAGTAAGGTGGAAAGTGCGTATTTAACGATTTAACGTGAGAATATAGAATAGAAAGAAACCAAATACTCCATATAGCCTGGCATTTTATTTCCATTATAACCCGACCCCTCCTGACTGAGCTTATTAATCTCTTCTTTATTTTTTTCATTAGTTATAATAAATTAACCTTACCCCCCCCCTCCCTATTCGGCGTTTATGACCACTAACATTTCCGTTTCCCCATAAAACACCTTGTATACAAGCTGTTATCTGAAGTAACGTCTTATGATAAAAATATAAGTGACTTTTCGCAACAAATGACATATTTCGTCAGCTGACCAACAAATAATCTGTTTTAGGATACTTACGATTATAATTCTAGACACTAGGCGATCTTCTTTCGGCATACACTTTCGAATGTATTTAAAGAGTTCTTTTAATTAGCTTATGTAAGTTTGGTAAGACATTTTGAA